TGCAGCACTGAGAGACGGAGGAGGAGGAGGAGCAGGGGACGGCATACAGAAGCTGCACCCCCATACCCCCCACCCCCAAACCCTAATCCAGGAGAACGGGCAGCAGTAGAGGTGGGGCGCCATCAGAGGCACGGGGGACAGCGGGCAGCGCAGGGGCAGCGAAGAACGGGCCGCCCACGGGCCTGGCACAGCCGCCCGAACCGCGCGCAGGCGGCCCGAGCCGCGCGCGGGCCTGGCGCAGCCCGTACGGGCCGCGCGCGGGCCTGTACGGGCCGCGCGCAGGCCACGATGGGCGACAAGGGGCGACGCGCGGGTCCCCGTCGCCCGTCGCAGCGCCTCCTGGGAGCGACGCGCTGTGTGACGGGGCAGAAACCCGCCGCGCGCCTCGGGGCGCACGGCGGGCAGAAAACCGCCGCGCGGTCACGGGAACAGTACCGACAACAGTCATACGCCTAGTCCGCGGTCCACCTGATGCTCGTTAGAGCCCCTCCCGGTTGCCTTGTGAACTGGGTCTGTAAGCTAAACCTGCATTTCGCGGGGCATTCGTCAATTTCGTCAGGCGTCCAGCGTGCTTCAAAAGTGCACATGGTAACCACCCAGTTTGTCTGTGTCGCAATAGTAAGGGGTTGCAGCACTTGTCCCTGTTGTATGTTTAGGGTTACTAATCGAACGCTACAGTACCGAAGCAAGCATGCACAACAATTGTTCTTCGTACTACAAAACAGTCAAAACACAAACACCTTCCAATCAACATCCTCCACCTGGCCCATCATCTCCATTCAACACATAAAACGAAACACGCACAAATGGGCACAAGGAGTGAACACTTGGGCTCTCAGCAAAATGCCTTCGACACCTTGCGAAGTCTGCTCCACCCCCCCCTCACAGACGCATCCACTCAGCCGCGTCCACATACCCGTCCATCACGGCACCCACACCGGCGTCAAACAACTCCTGACGGCAAGACGGACGGGCCATCCAGCCGCGCAGCAAACGGCCGCGCGGACGAGGGGTCTCGGGCGTGGGAGTTGCGCCCGGGGAGGGTACGGGCTGAGGCGCCACGTTGAGGTGGAATGACGGGCTCGCCCGCTCCATCCGCGCGATTACGATGGGGTTGCGGATATCAAACAGATGGCACAGATCGCGCGGCGTGATGCGGGTGGCCCGTGCATATCCGATGAGCATCTCGCATGCCGCCCATGCAGTGCGCCGCGCTTCGCGGCACACTGGGTCGGCGTCGTCGTAGACGGCTTGCATGGTCGTCGGCGCGTGCCAGAGCTCCACCTCTAGGCCCGCCTCCGGCTCAGTCGTGGGCTGTCCCGCAGCGCCCTCGGCGCACGTTGGCTCGTCATCGTCGATGGCGACGTACTTTGCGGCCGTCATCGCCGCATTCCCGAGGGCGAGCCCGCTAATAAGCGTCCCGACATCGTCGATGTCGTCGTCGAGCTCGATGTCGGGGTAGACGGCGGAGGAGGGCTCATCGTCGTGTACCTGCGTCAGCTCCAGGGACCACGAGAGCGGCAGACACCCCGTGCGCCACCAGCACCGTTGAATGGTGCGCGCGCCGACCGAGGTCCACGCGTCCGACAGCCACGCGAGGACATCGCGCAAGTTCGGGCGGAAACGAGCGACAGCGGAAGTCGCGCCGTCGCCGTTCCACAAAGCCGAGAAGGCCCGCAGCCAATGCTGTCGGTAGCGGGCCTTTACGGTGGCTATGATGCCTTGATCGAGCGGCTGTGTGAATGCGGTGGTATTCGGCGGCAGGAAGACGAGCCGCACGTTGCTCATGCAGGTCGTCCGCATGCCGCAGACGATCTCGCTCCATGCGAGCTCAGAGCGGAGCATGTGGCTGCTCGCGTTGTCGAGCAGCAACACGATCTTGCGACCTTCGGCGTACATCGCAGCATTGAGCTGCGATATGAAATAAGTGAATAACTGCAGGGACGGGAAGGGAGGGGAAGGCGGAATGTACAGTGGAACATTGTAAGCACAAACACATTCCATACAGATTTGATATTACGCGTAATTTGTCCGCAGCAACAAGAACGGACGACACAAAAAAACACGACGAGCTTACTAGCGAGGTCATCCAGCCTTTCGCGTTGTGCTGCCAGTAGCAAAGGGATTCAGGGTCATAATCCGGGCGGAAGTCATGCGGCCGCTTCGCCTTACTGATCACGAGCGGTCGGAATACGTGGCTCCCGTCAGCATTCACGAGGAATGCCACGGTGAGCCGCTCCTTCGATACTTTGCGGCCGGGAATGCGGCCGTTGTTGTAAGTGCGCCGAGGGAGGACTGATAGCCAGAGCGCCGTCTCATCGAGGTTGAAAGTGTCCCGCGGGGTGACACCGAGATGCGTGAGGAGTTGCGGCAGCTTCTCACGTGCGTGGCGCACGGCGGCCATGTCCGCGCTAACCGCCTCGCCTTGTGCTGCACGGCACCTCACTCCCTGGCGCCTCAAAGCACGGCGCACCCAGCTGATGGAGCAGCGGAATGAGGGCGGAATGCCCATGTTCCGGGACATCGTCGCGACATGGTCGCGGATGGTCTGCAGCGTCAGAGGCACGCCAGCGGGCCCTGCGTTTGCGATCCACCGCGCCATGGCCTGCTCCAGCTCAGGCCATGCGCCACCTCGACGGCGCACTTGGTTGTCGCCGGTTGCCGTGACAGCCCATCGCTCGGCGAGCTTCAATATGCGGCCGACAGTGGAGCGATCCGGGCGCAATCCGTACTGCGTGTAGCACCACCTCGCCAGGTCAACATGACGCAGGCGGGGGTTGTCGACGTGGTGCGCGCAAATAGCGCGCTTGATATGGAGCGGGAGCTGCTCCCGTCGATTAAAGCGGGGCATTGTGAGCGGCTGGGGTGTGAGAGAATGCTGACTTAGTGAATTAGTTGTTCGATTTTTATCGTCATAGGTCGGGCGTGCTGGGCAAAGCTGGGGCCTGTTCTTTGTTGCATGTCACATTTTTGTGGTTGGTGTTCGTTATGTCAGAACATTATAGCTTATGCTTTTGTGTAGGCTATAGTGGGGTATCCCATAGGGGATACAACCCAATTAGGGTTAGTACTTGTACCCACTTCATTCATTCTCGTTCTCATTCTTCACACGTTCCATGCACATGGCTTGCATTTTTTATCGTGTGGTTTGGTAACCACACCCTCGAATGTCCGACGTGGGGTGGGCGAAGCACGCCTGGCTGGTAATGCGCTTGTACCTTGCAAGTCCCGAATTACACGTGGCAGCTTGTATCTGACCAAATGCCTGTTACACGCACGATGATCCTTGCTTAGGTGGCGGCCTAGATGGGAGAATGCGTTCACGAAACCATAGTCGTTTCGTCCAGTCATTTCGCCTCTCCGACTCCTGGCCTAGAAACAAGGCAACAGTGGGTCGGCATGGCTTGTTCGGGACTGCACGTGCATTGATGGCCGAATCGCATGTACTGTTGCCAGCCACCCATGTGCTTGTACTGTGGGAGCAGCAAGCAGGGGTTTCCAGCTCGGGGGCAGCGTTTCCATCCGGTGCATGGCAATTTCGCGTGCACTGGTCGGGCATCATGTGAGGGTACTTAACCACGCGAGGGTACTTCTCCTTTATCAAACTTCTTTAGTCGGGTTGTTTCAAACTTTACGAGGGTAGAATCTAGCATTCCCTTCGCGAGATGACAGCAGAAAAAACTCAGTGAATGCCGAGTGTGACAAATGTCAATCCGTCTATCTTGGAGCACTAAGTGTGAGTTCCTTAGACGGAAGTGCTTTCGGCTGCAGAATCGTAGCCTCGATTGTCAGAATCCCAGCCACTAGACCACTGGGATAAAAGGGCTTGTTAAGTAGCGGGTCAGTGCGCCCATAACCCCCCAGGCCAACATGCCTGTAACCCTTCCCTAGGATCAATCGGGGATCACCAGTGGACCTCTGACATACCCCCGCACTGGGATGCCCGAAGTGCACACACTGGGATTCGAACCCGAGACCTTCGCTCTGATACCATGTCAGAATCCCAGCCACTAGACCACTGGGATAAAAGGGCTTGTTAAGTAGCGGGTCAGTGCGCCCATAAACCCCTAGGCCAACATGCCTGTAACCCTTCCCTAGGATCAATCGGGGATCACCAGTGGACCTCTGACATCGATAACTCTGGGTGCTAATAACATTACCCAGAAACGAACAAAGGGGGTTTGAAAGAACAAAGTTCACCTAGTTAAAATACCGCGGACTAGGTGTACACAGACCCTCTCGTGTATACACATGATGCCCGTTTGAGCCACTCCCGGTTGCCTTGTAAAGAAAGCTTATAAGCTGTATCTCGAATTTCGCCTAAATTTCGTCGATTCGCAGCTAGCAAAAAAGGATTCGTCAGGTGCTTATAAAACTTTTGTAACCTATCTGTTGACATTTTGACTTCAGTCTCTTCAGTGTGACTTCGGTCTGTTCGTTACAATTGGTTCATAACCACTGCAACTTGCGTAACGTGCTTGTAACGGGCGTGCAACTAGCTGGGGAAAAAACCTCGGGTGCAGGGCTTCCATCCGGTACAGGGCAAATTCGCGTGCACGGGTTGGGCATCATGTGTACCTCGAAGTCAGCAGCTACACCTAGTCTGCGGTATTTTAACCGGCGCTATCTTAACCACGCGAGGGTACTTCTCCTTTATCAAACTTATTTAGTCGGGTTGTTTCAAACTTTACGAGGGTAGAATCTAGCATTCCCTTCACGAGATGATAGCAGAAAAAACTCAGTGAATGCCGAGTGTGACAAATGTCAATTCGTCTATCTTGGAGCACTAAGTGTGAGTTCCTTAGACGGAAGTGCTTTCGGCTGCAGAATCGTAGCCTCGATGACTCTGGGTGCTAATAACATTACCCAGAAACGAACAAAGGGGGTTTGAAAGAACAAAGTTCACCTGGTTAAAATACCGCGGACTAGGTGTACGGAGAATTCCAACCCTAAACAGTTACTAACGTCCGACAGCTCAACCCAAGCATTCATCGACGTTGATGACTAGGGAAACCACCAGCCCTATCCAGCCGAAACACAACCCCCGACTGGATTTCACAGATCCACATTTTTCCGATGTTCTCCGTGTCACTCACTGCTCGCGTCGCTCACTCCCTGCCGTGACTCACTACAGCGTCATAGTCAATCACACGTCACACGTTCGCTCGTCACTCGCTCCACGCCTTCGTGTGCCCACCCCGTCGCCCTCGCTCCCCTCCTCGCCGCCCTCGCTTCCCTTCTCCCGTCGCCCTCGCTCCCCTCCCCGCCCCGCCCTCGCTTCCCCTCCCCGCCGCCCTCGCTTCCCCTCCCCGTCGCCCTCGCTTCCCCTCCCCGTCGCCCTCGCTTCCCCACCCCGTCGCCCTCGCTTCCCCACCCCGTCGCCCTCGCTTCCCCTCCCCGTCGCCCTCGCTTCCCCTCCCCGTCGCCCTCGCTTCCCGTCCCCGTCGCCCTCGCTTCCCGTCTCCGTCGCCCTCGCTTCCCCTCCCCGTCGCCCTCGCTTCCCCTCCCCGTCGCCCTCGCTTCCCCTCCCCGTCACCCTCGCTTCCCCTGCCAGCGCCGTATCCCTCGCCCTCGCTCCCCCTGCTCGTAACCCTCACCTCCCCATCCATCTAAGGATGGTCGAATCTGCTGGTCTATTCGCGGATTACCTCGCGTCGCTGCCGGCCGCGCAGCTCGACCGCCTATACTCCTCCCTCTACACGTGCCAAGCCGTGCTCAGGTAAACGCTTCTTTTAACTAAGCGTGAGTTCCACTGCCGTCCAGCTGCCCAGCGGTTCCGAAACACTCATCATGAGGGTGTGGCATTCAACGGCGCGAGGTGACGGGGACCCGTTTCCATGCTCCTCCTTTCCTCCTTCCCGCGCATTTCGCTGTCCCCTCCTTATTGGCCTCCCTTCCCAGACTCTCCCAGCAGCGGAGGTCCCTTCTTCCGCATCTCTTCCCCAGGACCTTGGTCCCTTTGTTCCCCCACCCACGCATTTCTCTTCTCCCCACTCGTCCCCGCACTCGCTCCTCTGTTGGTTTCCCCACCCACGCTTTCCGATGCGCCACTGCAACCCCACCACTCTCCCCGCACCCCATTCTCACCGCACCACACCCCCTTCTTTTCCCCCTCGCATGCTGCTCGCTTCTCTCGCCAACCCTCTGTCCCCGCTCCCCCTTCCGCAGCTCTCCCTCTCCTGCCGCGCTTACGCCTCACTTACCTCTCCCTCATTCATCCCATTCCCTTCCTTCCTCCCCCAACCTCGCATCCATGTCACTCCCTCCTCTTGTCCAGCAGGGAGTGTTGTGTCTGCCCCTCCTCATCGATTTCTACCCCAATGCACTTCCAACAACCCCCAGCACCCCCACACACACCTCCCTCCCTTTCTCCCCTCCTCCCCCTTCCTTCACCTCGTCTTTTCCGCCCCCACCTCCGTCCGCCCCCCCTCTCATCACAGGTTCCCCCCTCTCATCACAGGTCCCGCCCTCTCTTAGCCAAGCAGCACATGCTGCCACTGCGCCTACCAGACCTCTGCCTACTCCACTCCCCCAGCGTCCCCCCTCTTCTTCCCCTCCCCCCCCCCATCCCTTTCCCCCCTTTCTCATCCTTTCCCTCCTCCATTTTTTCCTTCCCTTCCTCCTTCCGTGCACCCTCCTTCTTCTTACCCTCCCATCCGCAGGTCCCTGCCCTTTCCAACCAGCCAAAGCAGTACATGCTGTGCTGCCTCTGCTCGTCCTCCCACCCCGTGCCTGCTGGAACCCCCCTGTCGTGAATCCCCTCTGCTGTCCCTTCCTTCTCACTCTCCCTTGCATCCCTGCCTGACTTCCTCACTCCCTCTCCCTCCACCTCTCATCCAGGTGACCGGCTCATCCCTTCTTCCTCCTGGCGTATGTAATCACTCTGTTCTGATCCCCTCCTCGTATCTCAGGCTTCCCGAAACAAGACTTAACTCCCTCGCAAGGGCTCCGCCGATTTGCTTCAGCTCCTCTCTACTGCTAGTTCCCCGTGGTTTAGGAAATCACAATTGCAGTAAACGAGAAACATACAAGCAAAAAGCAACGAGTCTGAGCGCTACCCCAGTCTACATCCCCTCCTGCCTAGGTGCCTTGTCCCGCAAGCTACCTCTACTCCTAAGCGCGAGTCAGCCGAGCTGATCGCGTAGGCTTCAAGGTGCTAGCTGGGTCCCACTCGGCCCACTAGGCATGCACCGCCTTCCAGCCTGGTGAATGGCGAATTGAATTCCCAGGCTGGCTGGAATCGAATTCGCCACCAACCTCCCCCCTAACCACCTCGAAATCCTCAGCAGCTCGACTCTGTATAGTACAGTAACATTCCAAAAGAGCAAACAAAGTAAAATGCAAAAAGCAGTAAACTATAGTACACCTCACCTTGGCTGCTGTGTAATTCACACTTAGTTGCCAGCTAAGTGTTAATCACGCGACAGCTGTCGTGAATCCCCTCTGCTGTCCCTTCCTTCTCACTCTCCCTTGCATCCCTGCCTGACTTCCTCACTCCCTCTCCCTCCACCTCTCATCCAGGTGACCGGCTCATCCCTTCTTCCTCCTGGCGTATGTAATCACTCTGTTCTGATCCCCTCCTCGTATCTCAGGCTTCCCTGCCCCCTCCCGTGACTGAGCACGCACCCGAGCTGCTCCAGACACGGGATCCAATGCCTGAGGCTTCTCCCTTCCCGCCCTGGCCACGTTGGTGATATGCTCCTTCAGGTACTCCCCTCGATCATCCTCCAGCACTAGCACCCCCGACTCCCTTACCTCTTTCACCCTCCATCGCTCCGGTCCCACAGCTAAGTCCAGCGTATCTCGCTTAGCCCTGCGCAGGTACACCTCCTGCCCCGCTTCCACTTGGTGACTCTTTCCTCCCATCCCTCCTGCTTTGCAGGGTGCAAAATGTCGCCGAATTTTTCATATTTTGGGCGAAAATTTCGCTATCGAAAATTTCGACCGAAAAATTCCATAATTTCGGTCCCCCTTCCAAAAAAATATTTGGTGGAAAATTTCGTCCGAAATTTTCAGGAAAAAAAAAATAGAAAATCGGATAAAATTTCATGGGTGGACAATCTAATGGCATTTTGCCACCAGATCTAGGCGGATGTGGCATTTCGCCATCAGATCTAGGGCGGATTTGGCATTTCGCCACCAGATCTAGGGCGGATTTGGCATTTCGCCATCAAATATAGGGCGGATTTGCCATTTCGCCATCAGATCTAGGGCGGATCTGCATTTCGCCATCAGATCTAGGGCGGATCTGGCATTTCGCCATCAAATCTAGGGCGGATCTGTCTTTTTTTTTTTTTTTAGGTCCATTAAATTTTCGCCGAAATATTACAAAAACGGCCGAAAATTTCGATCGAAAATTTCGGCCCGAAAATTTCGCTCAGCGCAATTTTCCACCTTGCTGCTTTGCGCTGCTGGTACCGCCTTGCATCCCTCAGCTGCGCCACGTGTAGATTATCCAAGGCAGCTGGAGTCAGCTCTTTCAGATACCTCGCCCTCTTCTCCGCTAATCCCGCCCACAGGCTCGGCTCGTCCGCTTCAATCGTCGCCGAGAGCAGCTTCGGTGCATCCACAGGTAGCACCGGGTCCCGTCCGTACAGTAGATGATACGGGGACAGATGCTTCAGCGCTGCCTGCTTCGCAAACCGGTATCCCGCAAGCACCCACCAGAGATCCCTGTCCCAACTCCTCTTGTGTGTCTCTCCATAGGCCCGAAGTCCTTTCTTCACGGTTTGTATGAGCCTCTCTGTCAGCCCGTCCGATTGAGGGTGATACCTTGAGGTGACACGATGCGTAATGCCCATCTCCTCTAGCAGCTCATCAAAGCTCCCTTGAAATTCTGTCCCTTGATCGGTAAGCACCTCCCCACATGCACCGTACCTGGTCAGTACTAACTCCTCGAATGCGTCCGCTATCAGTGCGCTACTCTTGCTTGGTAATGCTCGCGCCTCCACCCATTTGCTCGTGTGCTCAACCATGATCAGGATGTACTGCTTCCCTCCTTTTGATAATGGTAACTCTCCTGCCAGGTCCAGCGACCACCTGTAACCTAACCCCCGAATCGGTAGTGAGTGCAGCTCCTCCCTCTCCTTTTCCAGCCTTGCTTTATTCCTTTGACAAGCCTCGCAGCTGGCTACCAGTCCTGCCACATCCTTCCCCATGCTTGCCCACCAGTACATGGTGCTCAGCAGCTGCCGTGTCCTGGTGATGCCGTAATGTCCCAGCTTCGCATGCACCTTCCCCATGATCCTGTTCCTCTCTTGCGGCTGCGGCACTACCCTCCATCCTTCGCTGGTCCTCAGCTGCAGCTGCTCCTGAAACCATCTGTAATGCTGCCCTCTGGCTCTTGCTCTCTCACTTACGCCTTCCTCCTCCAGTGGCTCCCCTTTGATCCAGCTCATGGTCTCCTCGTCCTCCCATATATCTGCTAACCGCTTCTCTCCCTTCTCCTGCCCCCAGCTTACGGCCACGGTGTGGGCTAAGGCCGCCAGCTGCGCTACCGGCTGCATCGGTGGTGGGTTCCTTGACAGCCCATCTGCATGCTGCAGTGTTTTACCCGGTCGGTGCCGGATCTCAAAGTCAAATCCCAACAACTTGATAGCCCATCGAGCGTTTCTTCCCGTCAGCTCTTGATTAGTCATCAACCATAGCAGTGGCTGATGATCAGTCACTAATGTGAAGTGCCGGCCCTGCAGGTATACCTTGAAATGCGTGATTCCCCACACTGCCGTCAGGCCCTCTCCCTCGTATGAGCAGTAGTTAGCCTCGGATGGGCTGCAGCTTCGGCTGGCAAAGGCTATCACTCTTTCCTCTCCCTCGATTTCTTGGCAGAGCACCGCTCCCATTCCCGTACTGCTCCAGTCCGTGTACAGGATGAAAGGCGCTTCTGCCCTCGGTATCTGCAGTAAGGTCCCTGTCCTAACTGCTTCGAGCAAGTCCTGCCTTGCTGCCTCCTCCACCTCTCCCCATTGCCAGCTCTTCCCTTCCCTCAGCAGCTGGTTCAGCACGTAGGCACGGCGACTGAAGTTTGACACAAACTTCCTGTAATAATTCAGGAAGCCGAGTAACGCCCGCAGCCCTGTCTTATCCTTTGGCGCTGCCAGGTTCTCCAGCACCTTAACCTTTGCCTCTTGTATGGCCAGCCGACCGCCCTTCACTTCAAACCCCAGGTAAGCCACCGTGTGCCTCGCTATCTTACACTTATCTGGGTGACACGTCAGCCCCGCAGCTGCTATTGCCTCCAGAGTCTGCTTCAGATCTTGCACATGCTGTTCTTTGCTGCTGCTCTAAATCAACACGTCATCAATGTAGCATGCTGCGGCTGGAACCCCCTTCAGCACTTGATCCATGGCTCTCTGGAACACTGCTGGTGCGTTACGAAGCCCGAAAGGCATAACGTTGTACTCATACAAACCGTCCACCCCGTGAAATGCTGTTTTCCGTTTATCTGCTTCTCTAATGCCTATTTGATTGAAGCCCTGCCGCAGGTCCAAGGTGGTAAAGACGGTGGCCCCTTCCAGCCGGTCGAAAATGTCTTCAGCAGTCGGCATAGGGTATCTGTCTGGGCTTGTAATCTTGTTCAGCTCCCGAAAATCCCCGCACATCCGCTTCGCTAGAATCTTTCCCGTGATGTCCTTCCTAGCAGCCACCACCGTGGCCGCCGCGTAACTTGATTCTGACGGGCGAATAATCCCTGCAGCTAGCAACTCCTCACATTTCTCCTTGCAGATGGCTGCATCCTCCGCATTCATTCGCCTCCTGCGTTGGTATGTAGGTAGCTCAGTCGTGAGGTTCAGCTCCAGCTCTCTCCCCTTGTATCTCCCCAATTCCTGCAGGTTATAGGCGAAGGTGCCCCTATGCTGCTGCAACACCTCCCTGATTGCTTCGGCTGCTTGCTCCCCTATACCTGCCCCCAGCTCCCAGGTTTTGCCCGGCTCTGCTTCCGTCCCTACTGGTGGTGCAGTTTTGATCTCCTTCTCGTCTGTGAGCTTGCTGACAGCGGCGTAAGCAGCCTGCTTGCTGCCCCTGCACTTCTCCTCTTCCGTCTTTCCCTTTTTCTCGGCTGGCCCCTTTCTCATCTCACTAATTAGCCATCGCAGTGAGTGCTGGTCTATGGCTCGGCCCAAGGCAGCTTTGCGCACCTCCTCCCCTACTCCATCTGCTGCAGTTGCCCCCGGCAGGTACCCCATGGCTAATTCCCTCTCCAAAGCAGTCGGCTCCTCCCATCTTTTCTTACGGTGATCATACACCATCCCTGGACCTGGAGTCCCTTCCACTTCGACAAATCCCCGTGCCTTTGCATAGGCCACCAGTGTCGGCCAGGCCCTCCTCGCTTCCCCCACTCGGTTACACTGATACTGTCGCGGATGATCTGGCTTTACCACTGGGGCGGCCACTCTCCCTGGTTCCAGAATGTCTTCCACGATTCGGCTCTCATCTCTCTCCACCCTTGCTAATCTCGCCCTCAGTTCTCCTTCTGGCAGGACGTTCTGCCAGTACTGCCGCACTCTATGACACCTTGCCCCCAGCTGTGCCCCGTCACAACTCACTCCCCTTCCCAATTCTGCTTCCACCAGTTCGCGTACGGCTCGGACCGGCTCCCTGCTATCACTCCTCATATCCACATGTTCTAGGATGTACGCATATTCCCCGCCAGATTCTCTCGCCCACCTCATAATCGTCAGCAGTGTTGTCACCATCGCCGTGCGGTCATCCTGCATTCCTCTTCCCTTCCCCGCTCGGGAAGTACCCTGGCACTCCCACCCTGCTACCAACAGGTCCACCTTTCCCCAGCGGTTCACGTCTTCCTTGGTAAGCTGTCCCACATCCCACTTCTCATTCTGCATGGCCTCCCGTATCACTTCCTTCGCCAGTTGAGCTGGGTACCGCTGCTGCAGTATCTGTGCATGCTTCCAAGCCATCCTCCTCACCTCCGGGTCTATTTCCACATACACCCATCTTTTCACCTTCAGCCCTGCTTCCAGTGCCGCCGCTAAGCCTGCCCCCAGCCCTCCAAACAGCTCCACTAAGGTAACGCTATACTGGTTCAGGTTAGCTCCGACCTTGCCCTCTTTGGTACTCCCCCTCCTTACGCTCTCTCTTCTCATGCCCTCCGCCCTCCAAGCCTTCTTCGGTTCTGTCTTGACAAACCGCACTGGCAGCTCACTCAACTCCTTTCCCTCAATCCAGAAATCCGAGCGGTAGAGCACCTGTTCCTGCCAGGTACAAATTGTTGTACCTATCTTGAATAGCAGCTCCATCCCCAGCAGAACATCATAATCCTCCGATTCCGTCAGCCCACATTGCACTCTTATCGTCGTTTCTCCCTTCTCTCCCGGCTGCAGAGTAATCTCGATGGGGTCCTTAGTACAGGGCATCCACTTTGGTGCCCCTCCCTCGGCTGTCATGATCAGTATGCCTCTGTTTACTATTTCCAAGTCCCCTTTCTCCCGTAACTGTTCTGTCAGCTTCCTTCCCAGCAGGACACTCTGTGCGCCTGTATCCACCACGGCGTTCTCCACTAATATGCCCCTGACAGCCACTGCCTTAGGTTCTACCACCAGGGCCGTGGGTTGGCAGACGAGTCTCTCCTCAGGATGCCGTCGAGCCGTCCTCGGCTTATGGCTTTCTTCTTGTTGCCGAGGGGTTCTCCTTTCAGGCTGCTTCTGCTCTGTCCTGCCATCCTTCCCGCCGCTGCGCAGCCCCAACTCCTCTCGGTCTCTAGGTGGTATGGCCATGGCCCCGTACTCTGCCTCCTCTCTCTCATACTCCTCCTCTTCATCGTCCTCCCAAGCCAGCAATGCCTTCTCAGGGTCCTCACTAATCTCAGTCTTCTCCAACTGTCCCTTCAGCTTCGCCACCTCTCTCTCTAACTGTAACTCCCTTGCCGATTTTCCTCGCATTCTCTCTCCCTTGCTGTAGCACCTGTCTTCAGTATGCCCCCTTTTCCCACACCCGGTGCAGATAGGTGCCTTGGGGCAGTCACGTCTGAAATGTCCTTTCATCTTGCATGTGTCGCACACTATGTCTATGGCGCAGTCCTTCCGCACGTGCCCCTTTTCGCCGCACTTGTAACACCTGCGTCTATCTTCAGACGGCCTCTCTCTTCGTTCCTCTTCCCCCTGTCTCCCTTCCACCGCTGCCCAAGCAGGCCTCCGACGTTCGCTCGGCCGACTGGAGCTTGACCCCCTCATTCCTTCGAAAAACCTCTTTCCATCCTCCACTTCTTTCGCCACCTGGTACACCTGTCGCAGCTTCGCCCGTACCCCCAAGGAGTATAGTCGGCTTCTCATGTCTCGTATCAAGTCCCCATCCAGTCCGTTGACGAACTTGGTCACTAGGATGCGCTCCTCCACGCAGCCCATATCCTCTGCCAGCTCCAGTAAACGGTTATAGTAGGCCAACATCGACTCTGCCGGCGCTCTTCTGAAGTCTTGAAACTCCGCCATCCGGTCAGCCGAATGCCCCGGGAACTGCTCCTGCAGGCTTTCCAAGAAACGGTCCGTAATATCTGCCGGTAAGATATCTCCTCTGTTGCTCCGCATCAGCAGCCCCTGCCTCTCCACGCGGTAATGAGTCAACGCCTCTCCTTTGAGAGTCCTCCCCAAGCCTCTGAAAAATTCAATAGGATCCAGTCGCTCCCTATCCCAGCAGTAGCGAATGTCTTCAATCATCATCAGGTAGTTTTTCAGCGTGGGCTCCTCTCCGGGTGCCCCCGAGAAGCGGTCTGGTACCTCAATTTTGGGGGGTGTAGTACTCATCGACCTGCCTGTCCCCCAGCTTGTGTTCCCTCCTTCTCCACTCCCTGCAGGTCGCCCTGCTCTCCCGGCCTCCATGGCTTCGTATCCTCCAGCAGAGAATCCGTGATATGCTTCCTTGCCTCGCTGACTTCGTCGTTCCACCGATTGATCGTCTCCTCCCCTCAGACTACGCCTTTCTTCACGTTGATCTTCTTCTCCTCTCTGACTCCGCCGTTCTTCTCGATGATCTTCCCCTCCCTTCTGACTTCGTCGATCTTCATGTTGATCGTCTCCTCCCAGATCTGGATTTCCTCGGCGAGATCCACTCCCCACAGGTCGCCCTCCACTCCTCTCCGCGGGCGAGTCGCATGCAGAGCTCGACTGTTGTTCTCCGTGTACACCTCGTTCTTCCTCCCGATCCCCGCCTTGGTTACCGCGCGAGATCGTCCCTCCTTCGCCCGCCCGAAATCCAGGCATCCTGACCGGCGGATCACGTCCCTCCATCATCCTCGCCGGGAATCGGTGTCCAGAGCGCAGTTGATGAGTGTGAAGCTCACGGTCGAAATTACTCATTCCTCACGGTGCATCACCGTGGGCAACTCCAGGCAGTAGATCCTGCCACCTCTTCTCTCAACAATCGTAATCCTGACTACCCTTTTTGCTTGTATGAAACAAGACTTAACTCCCTCGCAAGGGCTCCGCCGATTTGCTTCAGCTCCTCTCTACTGCTAGTTCCCCGTGGTTTAGGAAATCACAATTGCAGTAAACGAGAAACATACAAGCAAAAAGCAACGAGTCTGAGCGCTACCCCAGTCTACATCCCCTCCTGCCTAGGTGCCTTGTCCCGCAAGCTACCTCTACTCCTAAGCGCGAGTCAGCCGAGCTGATCGCGTAGGCTTCAAGGTGCTAGCTGGGTCCCACTCGGCCCACTAGGCATGCACCGCCTTCCAGCCTGGTGAATGGCGAATTGAATTCCCAGGCTGGCTGGAATCGAATTCGCCACCAACCTCCCCCCTAACCACCTCGAAATCCTCAGCAGCTCGACTCTGTATAGTACAGTAACATTCCAAAAGAGCAAACAAAGTAAAATGCAAAAAGCAGTAAACTATAGTACACCTCACCTTGGCTGCTGTGTAATTCACACTTAGTTGCCAGCTAAGTGTTAATCACGCGACACCCCTCCTTTCACACTAACCCCACCTTGGCCTCACACTCACCCCTCATCCCCCCCAGGTCCCTGCCCGCACCAGCCAAGCAATACGTGCTGCGACTGCTCTTTCTCACGGACCATGTGCCTCCCACATTCCTTCTCCCTGCTTTCCCACCCCTCCCCCCCCACACTAACCCCACATGCAGGTCCCTCCCTCCACTGGCCAAGCAGTACGTGCTGCGACTGCTCTTTCTCACCGACCCTGTGCCTGCCGCGCTCGTGGCTGATTGGCCCAAGCCCGAGGCACACAGCAAGCACAAGGCGGCCCTTGACAGGCTGCAGCAGCTGCGCCTGCTGCTGGCATGCAGGTAGGGCTGCAACTCTCAAGTGTGCTCTCAAATGCACTTTCAGGTGTGATCTCAAATGCACTCTCAGGTGTGCTCTCAAATGCACTCTCAGGTGTGCTTTCCCCAACCTTCATCCACCCCACATGCAGCAGAACAGGGATTCTAATCTAACAGCATCAGGATCGTTGGCATCAGCATTTTCCACGCGACTCAAAGGTCACCTGCCCCCCCGCTCCCGCCATCCATCCCACGTGCAGCGAAACAGGGTCTCTGACAGCATCAGCATCAGGATCATCAGTATCAACGTTTTTTAGCATCCCCCCCACCCGCTCCCCCCCTCCCTCATCCCACGTGCAGCGAAACAGGGTCTCTGACAGCATCAGCGTCAGGATCATCAGTATCATTGGTATCAACATTTTTTAGCATCCCCCCCCGAACACCCCCTCTTCTTTCATCTCGCGTCCAGCGAAACAGGGTCGCTGGCAGCAGCAGCATCGTCGGCACCAGCAGCGTTCCGCCTGAACCCCACCTTCCAGCAGCAGCTGCAGCAGGCGCTCACATCAGGGTGAGTGCAGCAGGCGGTCACATGAGGGTGAGTCACTCGTTGATGATTGCTGTGCCAGCAAGCCCTTATTAGTCACGCAGCGGGATGCGTGTCATTGGTGTCACCATGCATTGGTGCGCATGGTGTGTGCTCACTCGCGTGAGGTGAGGGTGACGTGTGTGGGGGCTCGACTTGTCCATGCCTTCCCCACTCTCATCCCCACCACTCACACCTCACTTCCCTCTCCTTCCCCCTCACGCCCGTCACAACCCTTCCATGTCATTCTCCCATCCCTTCAAAGAGCAGTAATTTCATTCCATGCTAAAGCGCGTGAGAGTGATAAATCCCACCCACCACTCATCTCGACCACATTCTCTCTTCATGTCCCTTGACTGCACCTGTGGCTTGTTCAAGCTTCCCATGTTCGTGTTCCGCTTCCCATGTTCGTGTTCCGCTTCCCATGTTCGTGTTCCGCTTCCCATGTTCGTGGTCCGCTTCCCCTCTACTCCCCCATCTCCCCATCCCTTCCACTCCCCTCCATTCCCCACCCACACGCACGCAACTGTTCTCCACCGCACAGCACAGCCCCCCCTGCTCTCTCACTGACTCACCTCCCCCAAGTCTCGCCCCACTCCAGCATGCCTGCATCTGTGGTCTTCCCTCCCCCCCCCTTCTCTACCCTCATCTCCCCTTCTCCCCTCGCCTTCTCACTACTGCAGTGCGCCCGTGTCCCGGCCCAGCATGCTTGCCTCAGTGCCACCCGCCTGCCGTCTGTGGCCTTCCCTTCCTTCACACCCCCTCCTCCCCCTGCTCTCTCCCTCCCCCTGCTCTCTCCCCCCCCCTCGCCTTCTCACTGCTTCAGAGCGCCTGTATCTCGACCCAGCGTGCCGGCCACCCGCCTGCCGTCTGCTGCTGAGCTGGCAGCCCATGCCACGAGCCACTGGGAGGTGAGGCATGCACCACTGGCCAAAAAGAGGAAGAAGAATGAAGGGACGCAGTTCTTTCACTTGTTCTGCATGCCCGCTTGGAGGAGCAAACAAATTTCCCTCTCCCCTTGCTTCCATTCCTCCTCCCCCCTTCGTCCTCCTTACCTTGGCCTCGTTCTTCCACCCACCCTCATCCTTTCCACCCCATGCCCCATCTCTCATCCTCCCATCTCTCACCCCAGGCAGTGCCCATGCATCTCGTATTGCTGCCGTCTATAGCTGGGGGCCACAGTGCTGCTGCCCTTCCATCCCTCCCTCCCCTACCGCCTCACCTGACCTCGTTCTCCCACCACTCTCCTCCGCCTCCAGGCCGTCCCCATGCATCTAATATCGCCGCCATCCATAGCTGGGGGGCATGGCGCTGCTGCTGCCCTTCCCTCCCTCCCTCCCCTACCTCCTAACCTGACCTCATTCTCCCACCTCTCATCCCCATGCCTCTCACATACCCCAGGCAGTCCTCATGCATCTCATATCGCCGCCATCCATAGCTGGGGGTCACGGCGCTGCTGTCATCACACGAGTGCTCGTACGAGCGGGCCTGCTCACCCACTCGTGAGTACCAGAGCCAGCAGCACAGGGCAGGCAGAGGTGGGGATTGGGTGCTGCTGCTGTCATCAGACTTGTGCTTGTACGAGCGGCCCTCCTCACCCACTCGTGAGTGTTCCTGATTTATTGACCGAGCTGCCCGGTACCAGCAGCACAGGGCAGGGGAGGGGGACAGAGTGCTGCCGCTGTCATCATGCTTGTGTGCTGTGCGCATACAAGCTGTAATCATGCTTGTCTGCTGTGCGCATACAAGCTGTCATCATGCTTGTGTGCTGTGCGCATACAAGCTGTCATCATGCTTGTGTGCTGTGCGCATACAAGCTGTCATCATGCTTGTGTGCTGTGCGCATACAAGCTGTCATCATGCTTGTGTGCTGTGCGCATACAAGCTGTCATCATGCTTGTGTGCTGTGCGCATACAAGCTGTCATCATGCTTGTGTGCTGTGCGCATACAAGCTGTCATCATGCTTGTGTGCTGTGCGCATACAAGCTGTCATCATGCTTGTGTGCTGTGCGCATACAAGCTGTCATCATGCTTGTGTGCTGTGCGCATACAAGCTGTCATCATGCTTGTGTGCTGTGCGCATACAAGCTGTCATCATGCTTGTGTGCTGTGCGCATACAAGCTGTCATCATGCTTGTGTGCTGTGCGCATACAAGCTGGCCTCCTCACCCTTTCGTCGTGAGTTCATTTCACCTATTCAGCTCGGCAACACCACCAAAGACAGTAGCACAGGGAGGAGGGGGACAGGGTGCTGCTGCTGCTGTAATTACACGAGTGCACTGCACATATGAGCGAGCCTCGGTATGCACTCATAAGTGGCGCTGCTTCTGTTGCTGCCACCGCCGCTGCTTCTGTTGCTGCCACCGCCGCTGCTTCTGTTGCTGCCGCCGCCGCTGCTTCTGTTGCTGCCACCGCCGCTGCTTCTGTTGCTGCCACCGCCGCTGCTTCTGTTGCTGCCACCGCCGCTGCTTCTGTTGCTGCCACCGCCGCTGCTTCTGTTGCTGCCACCGCCGCTGCTTCTGTTGCTGCCACCGCCGCTGCTTCTGTTGCTGCCACCGCCGCTGCTTCTGTTGCTGCCACCGCCGCTGCTTCTGTTGCTGCCACCGCCGCTGCTTCTGTTGCTGCCGCCGCCGCTGCTTCTGTTGCTGCCACCGCCGCTGCTTCTGTTGCTGCCACCGCCGCTGCTTCTGTTGCTGCCGCCGCCGCTGCTTCTGTTGCTGCCACCGCCGCTGCTTCTGTTGCTGCCACCGCCGCTGCTTCTGTTGCTGCCACCGCCGCTGCTTCTGTTGCTGCCACCGCCGCTGCTTCTGTTGCTGCCGTCGCCGCTGCTTCTGTTGCTGCCGCCGCCGCTGCTTCTGTTGCTGCCGCCGCCGCTGCTTCTGTTGCTGCCACCGCCGCTGCTTCTGTTGCTGCCACCGCCGCTGCTTCTGTTGCTGCCGCCGCCGCTGCTTCTGTTGCTGCCACCGCCGCTGCTTCTGTTGCTGCCACCGCCGCTGCTTCTGTTGCTGCCACCGCCGCTGCTTCTGTTGCTGCCACCGCCGCTGCTTCTGTTGCTGCCACCGCCGCTGCTTCTGTTGCTGCCACCGCCGCTGCTTCTGTTGCTGCCACCGCCGCTGCTTCTGTTGCTGCCACCGCCGCTGCTTCTGTTGCTGCCACCGCCGCTGCTTCTGTTGCTGCCACCGCCGCTGCTTCTGTTGCTGCCACCGCCGCTGCTTCTGTTGCTGCCACCGCCGCTGCTTCTGTTGCTGCCACCGCCGCTGCTTCTGTTGCTGCCACCGCCGCTGCTTGCAGAAGCAGCTGCTGGACCTCCAATCCACCTCCACATTCCTGAGCCATCAATTTTTGGGCAAGCCCAGAAAGTCAGAGATTCAGAGGATCAGAGATTCAGAGGATCAGAGAATTGAGGGTGAGAGGCTGTGTGAGCACATTTCAGGGAGCGTGTTGTGCATCACTCTGCTGATTCTAGCTTGAGGCACCCGGAACCGCTCCGCACCTCCTCAGACTCAAAATTCCCTGGTTGGATGTTACGCGTACGTTTACGCACGTTGTACATAACTTGTGTGGATCTGAAATTTGTTTACGTTCAAGAATTCGCTTGGGCTGCCCGACAACTGTGCAACCTGTTTTCGGCTGTAAAATCGGTTTCTTCTTGCACAACCATAGGGTGGGTGTCACAGCAATAGTTTAACCACGACCCACATAGTTTTGGTGACGAGTTTTTTCGACCCGTCCGCGCTTTCCCCCCATCTCCCGCTCACAGCATCGCCACTTTTTTTATCTCACTGCCTCTTGTCCCACTCTTGGAGTCGATGGCTCTGGTCGGCAATTTTGTTTTTCCTGCCCGAATATATGCTAATCGTATTTACGCGTACATAGGCATATCTTTACGTATACGCGCAACACTGCGATAAGTGGGGTCCAAAAACGTTTTTTGGACCCAATACCACTCCCTACCCCCTCATCTGTCTTGTTGCTCCCTACCCCCGCATCCTCCCTGTTGCTCGCTCCTATTTCTGTGGTTGGTCCCCTTCGCCCCCACCACGTGCCCCTCGGACCCATTGTTTCTCAGGGCAGGGGGTCGTCTCTCTCCGTCGTATCAACCTCCGCCTTCCCCTTCCTTGTGCGCTTTCTTCTCATCACTTCCTAAACGAACTTGGAGCATTTATTTTGCGTTGTTGCTCTCGCCCAGCGATTCGCTGTTCACTTTACTTGGACCGCAGAGCCTTCTCTCACCACGCCTCCTGCTTCCTCCTGTTCCTTTCCTCAAGCGTGCCGTTGCTACCTCTTCATATCTAGTTTGTTTCTTATTCATCCTATGACTCCGTGTGCAAAGCAAATGCTACTTTTTCCTTCTGTGTGTGTTTGTGTTGCATGGCACGGGGCACGGGGCACGTACGGGGCACGGGGCACGGGGCACGGGGCACGGGTCACGGGGCACGGGGCACGGGGCACGGGTCACGGGTCACGGGGCACGGGGCACGGGGTGCGGGCACGGGCAGCTCAAGGACCGGAACGAGCAGCTGTGGGCAATAGTCTCGAGCTACATTGAGTCGGCCCAGGTCAGTTCACTGAGTCAACACGAGTCAACGTGAATCAACTGAGTCAACATGAGTCAACTAGCTGGACAAACAAAGCTAGTTGAGTCAGCCAATGGCTAATGGACCACAGCAAGTCTCTCTATCCCGTCGGTCAGCTGGCTGTAAGTCGTCCAAGCATCCCCCCTTGCTGTACGGATTCATATCCTTCATTGCCCGCCAAGTGGAATGTGGGGATGCTTGGATGAGCCTGCATTGCCCGCTATGGATGACTGCTATGGCCCATGGGTGACATTTGACGCTCAGTATTGAAGAATGACGTGGCTTCTTTGCTCATGATTCTCCCGTCCTTCTCCAGTCATCCCTCCCTTCCTCTGATTCGTTTTCCCCCCGTTCCCCTTGTTACTTCTCCCGCTTCCTTTTGTCGTCTTCCCCCACCTTTCTTCTTTTCCCGCCTTCTCCCCCCACATGCCAGGACAGGGGGCATGACAGTGGGGATGTGATTGCATTTCTCCTGGAGCTCGGATTCCACAACGTTGGAACGGTACGGTTACAAGATTGGAACGGTACGGTTACAGGATTGGAAAGGTACTGTTACAAGATTGGAACGGTATGGTTACAAGATTGGAACGGTACAGTTACAGGATTGGAACTGTATGGTTACAAGATTGGAACGGTACGGTTACAAGATTGGAACGGTACGGTTACAGGATTGGAAATGTACGGTTACAAGATTGGAACGGTACGGTTACAGGATTGGAAAGGTACGGTTACAAGATTGGAACGGTACGGTTACAAGATTGGAACGGTACAGTTACAGGATTGGAACTGTATGGTCACAAGATTGGATCGGTACGGTTACAGGATTGGAACTGTACGGTTACAAGATTGGAACGGTACGGTTTCAGGATTGGAACTGTACGGTTACAAGATTGGAACGGTACGGTTACAGGATTGGAACTGTACGGTTACAAGATCAGAACGGTAGGGTTACAGGATTGGAACGGTATGGTTACAGGATTGGAACGGTAGGGTTACAGGATTGGAACGGTACGTTTACAGGATTGGAACGGTACGGTTACAAGATTGGAACGGTACGGTTACAGGATTGGAACAGTACAGTTGCAAGATTGGAACGGTGTGGTTACACGGTACGGTTGCAAGATTGGAATGGTACGGTTGCAAGATTGGAAGGGTATGGTTACAAGATTAGAATTGTATAGTTACACCATTGGCATGGTACGGTTACAAGATTGGAACGGTATGATTACAAGAATGGAATGGTACAGTTACACGATTGGCACGGTATGGTTACAAGATTGGTAGGGTTACAAGATTGGAACGGTGGGGTTCCAACATCGGAGTGGTATGGTTACAACAACCTTGGAACGGTGCGGTTACTACGGTTACAATACGAGTTAGGCATGCTACGGTTACAACATAGGCATGGTACGATCACTAGATAGGCATGGTACGGTTACAACATAGGCATGGTACGGTTACAACATAGGCATGGTACGGTTACAACATAGGCATGGTACGGTATGGCTACAACATAAGCATGGTGCGGTTACAGCATTGGCATGGTCTGGTTACAACATTGGCCCAGTACGGTTGCAACATTGGCATGGCACAGTTACAATTTTGGCACGGTATGGTTACATCATAGGCACCATACTGAACGGTACAGTTGTAACAGTACATATTATTGTTACAACTGCTACAGTTGATCAAAGAGCCATCTATATGTCACCACAACGCTGGCAAAATTCATTGAGATGGGTGCGTTAGTGGCACAATGTTGCATTGCCAAACGTCACTGCTTTGCCCCCTCCCTCATTCTCCGCTCCCCCCATCCCCCCTCCTTCCTTCCCCTACCCTCTCTTGTGATACACATGGATGTGTGTCCGTCATGCACCCATCATGCACCCATCATGCACCCATCATGCACCCATCATGCACCCATCATGCACCCATCATGCACCCATGCATGCATCCATGCATCCATGCATCCGTGCACCCATGCACGCACCCCCCCGATCTCCATGCCCCCATATGCCCCATGCGCCCACGCCCAGAGCAGCCATACAGCATGACAACGCTGACGAGCATGCAGCAGGAGGTGGTGGAGGAAATAGCCCAGCTGGGCTTCGTGCTCACGCAGAAGGTGCGCTCTCGTCTGCACTTCACCTGTACTATGTATGTGCAGCGCATGCTGTATGTGCAGCGCATGCTGTATGTGCAGCGCATGCTGTATGTGCAGCGCATGCTGTATGTGCAGCGCATGCTGTATGTGCAGCACATGCTGTATGTGCAGCGCATGCTGTATGTGCAGCGCATGCTGTATGTGCAGCGCATGCTGTATGTGCAGCGCATGCTGTATGTGCAGCGCATGCTGTATGTGCAGCGCATGCTGTATGTGCAGCGCATGCTGTATGTGCAGCGCATGCTGTATGTGCAGCGCATGCTGTATGTGCAGCGCATGCTGTATGTGCAGCGCATGCTGTATGTGCAGCGCATGCTGTATGTGCAGCGCATGCTGTATGTGCAGCGCATGCTGTATGTGCAGCGCATGCTGTATGTGCAGCGCATGCTGTATGTGCAGCGCATGCTGTATGTGCAGCGCATGCTGTATGTGCAGCGCATGCTGTATGTGCAGCGCATGCTGTATGTGCAGCGCATGCTGTATGTGCAGCGCATGCTGTATGTGCAGCGCATGCTGTATGTGCAGCGCATGCTGTATGTGCAGCGCATGCTGTATGTGCAGCGCATGCTGTATGTGCAGCGCATGCTGTATGTGCAGCGCATGCTGTATGTGCAGCGCATGCTGTATGTGCAGCGCATGCTGTATGTGCAGCGCATGCTGTATGTGCAGCGCATGCTGTATGTGCAGCGCATGCTGTATGTGCAGCGCATGCTGTATGTGCAGCGCATGCTGTATGTGCAGCGCATGCTGTATGTGCAGCGCATGTTTGTTAACCTCTTCGTTGCATCATCCATACCCCGCACACCGCACCACACCGCTCCACACCACCCCACATAACCCCGCACCATCCCCTCACCCGCATCGCAGGGGAGGCACGACCAGTGGTTCATCCCAACGCACCTTGCAGCTGCACTCTCCTCCAGCCTATCAGAGTCTGCCACGTCAGATTCAGAGGTGAATGAATGAGGGCCACCTTGCATTACAGCATAGCATAGTGGTGCTCACACCTTGAGGCTTGTGCTATAACCACGAGCTATACTGTTTTCCCTCCTTTCTACCTCCCTGTACCCCACTCGTTCGCTCACCCACTCACTGCATGCCCTCTTAGCACATGGCGCTTCTTAATGGTCAAAGCACACTCTCTTGGTCTCACCCACTCACACGCTCCTTCCTGTATATGCGTGGCACCCTGCCCTCCCCCTAGCATGGCAGGGCTTCATAGTGGTGGAGACCAACTTCAGAGTTTATGCGTACACGCAGTCCAAGCTGCAGGCGGAGATTCTATCACTCTTTATGAGGTGCGTCCATACATTATTAAGGGATCATGAGGACATGATCAGTGGAGTTGGTGGGTACACACAGTTTGGGAGGTAAGTCCCTCTGCTGTTCAGAGTGAACACATTCACGCACTTCAAAGTGCAGGCAGAAGCTTTTTCAATCTTCATGAGATAACCCTCCCTAGACCATTGACGGCTCACGAGGGGAGAATCGGTGGAGTTGGTAGGTGGTAACGCAGTGTTCCTGTGGTAAGTCCCCTGCTGCTGTTCCGAGTGCACACGTACACACACACAGTCCAAGCTGCAGGCAGGGATCCTGAGGTACGTCCTGCCCCGCTGCTCTTCATGAGGCGCGTGTCGCCCCTCAGGATGATGAGGAGAGGAGAGATGTACCTCACATACGTGCATGATCATTGAGGGACCATGAGGAGAGAGAGAAGCACTTTTGAGGCGCCTCAAAAGGGACCATGAGGAGAGAGAGAAGCAATAGAGGTGGCGCTTCAGTGTTGATGAATCGCGAATCATGAATTAGCCAATAAAGGTATGTCCGTCACAACACACGCATGCATGCAGTCCCAGCCGACAGACCGTAGGTACACATCTAGTATGCAGTGGGATCTGGTGGAGGTCGAAGCTGCTGGGGGCATTCGCTTCTCACTCTTCATGTGCTACATGCAAACATTCATTCACACGAATACATGAATTCTGTATCCTGATTCTGTAAGCTGTGATGAGAACCGACCATTGTTCACCCTTTATGTGATGAGCGTCATGAAAGTACATTGATTGAATTGAAAGTATGGGGTGGATCAGAGTGAATGACTTCCTAGATTGAGTCAAATCAGAATCGTTGCTTTTGCTGCCCACCAATACCAAACGCCACTTTGCATTATTCCTCTGCCTCCTTGCCTCCCTGCCTCCCTGCCGCTCTCTCCCTCCTCTACCTCCATGCTTTTCATTCCGCCACTGCCCCTCACTCTACCCAGGCTGGAGTGTCAGCTGCCTCATCTGGTGGTCGGGTTGATGCACCCAGGTGAATTCTGTCTGAGACGACCCTCTCTGCCTCTCCTGTCTCTCCCTCTGCCCCTCGCCCCTCACACAGGTTGGAGTACCGCCTGCCCAACCTAGTGGTGGGGATCATGAACCGAGAGACCGTCAACAACGCACTTGCTCTCGGCATTGTTGCAGAGCAGGTGGGGTCTCCAGGTGGTTTGAGCAGGGCAGGTGGGTCCTCAGGTGGTTTCAGCAGGGCAGGTGGGTCCTCAGGTGGTTTCAGTAGGGCAGGTGGGTCCTCAGGTGGTTTCAGTAGGGCAGGTGGGTCCTCAGGTGGTTTCAGTAGGGCAGGTGGGTCCTCAGGTGGTTTCAGTAGGGCAGGTGGGTCCTCAGGTGGTTTCAGTAGGGCAGGTGGGTCCTCAGGTGGTTTCAGTAGGGCAGGTGGGTCCTCAGGTAGTTTCAGTAGGGCAGGTGGGTCCTCAGGTAGGTTCAGCAGACGTGGTGGGATGTTCGCAATCAGTGAAAGATAATGGAAAGAGTTCCAAGAAAATATTGATTCACTAGGAACACAGCTGCCTTGGTACAGAGTTTCAAGAAAGATCGGAGGGATGGGAATGAAGAAAAAAGCTCAGGAAGATCCATCCAAATTGTGGATATTTGGATGGATGAGGGTAGATAAATTGGGGATGAAAAATCCACAGCGGTGCACAAGAATGCGCAGTCAAAGCCCTTACCTTACCCCCCCTCCTCCCCCTTCTCTCCCCCAAAACACCAGATGGTACAGTGTTTGCACAAAATTCCCCTGCAATGTTCTGATACCTCAAACGGTCAGTTAGTGCAGTACATGCGAGTGAACGCGGATCTAAGCTCCTATCCCTCCCCTTCCCATTTCCCCCTCTTCACCCCCCTCCCCCAGCCACCAGATAGTGCAGTGCAGGTGCAGTGCCCCCACAGAATAAGTGCCCCCACAGAATAAGTGCCCCTGAATGCTCTTCCACCACTTCCTCTCCCCCCTTCGTCCTCTCCTCTGAAACCGCCAGATACTGCACTGCAGTACATGCGGAGGAAAGCTCATCTAAGCTCTTATCCCTCCTCTCCCCTTTGCCTCCTTCTCCCCTCCCCTCCCCGCAACCACCACCAGATAGTGCAGTAGGTACGGACGAACTCTCATCTAAGCCCCTATCCCTCCCCTCCCTCCCCCCCCCCACCTCTCCCCTCCCCTTCAAGCCACCAGATAGTGCAGTACATGCGGAAGAACGCTCATATAAGCCATATTGTTCCTCCCCCTCCCCCCCCCCCCCCCTTCCACGGCGCCACCAGATAGTGCAGTATATGCGGAAGAACGCTCATATAAGCCATATTGTTCCTCCCCCTCCCCCCCCCCCCCCCCTTCCACGGCGCCACCAGATAGTGCAGTACATGCGGAAGAACGCTCATATAAGCCATATTGTTCCTCCCCCTCCCCCCCCCCCCCTTCCACGGCGCCACCAGATAGTGCAGTACATGCGGAAGAACGCTCATATAAGCCATATTGTTCCTCCCCCTCCCCCCCCCCCCCCTTCCACGGCGCCACCAGATAGTGCAGTACATGCGGAAGAACGCCCATCCCCTGGTGGCCACGAAGCCCCCTGTGGTGCCCGAGACAGTGGTGGACCAGGTGCTGTGCGCTGGGGCCATGTGTGCCACTGTGTGCTGCTGCGCTGTGCGCTGTTCAGTGTTGTGTTCTTTGTGTATGTGCGGTGTACGACTTGTGTGTAGCGTGGGATGCGTGCGTGTGTGGTGTATCATACCATCTCGGACCATGTCGAAACAACTCACACCATCTGACGTCGATGAGGACTATTTCACACTATCACATACCATCTTACACTGCCATATACCATCTGATATCATCAAATACCATACAGTACTCCTTTTTGCATCGGATAACATCTCATTATGAGCATTTTTTTCCATTTTTTCTTATTTTCAACCCTACTCGGGTAAAACCCATTCAGCTGCCCATTGCCCTTACTACTCTGCTTCTCGTTCGTATCACTTCGTGTCCCATTGTTCCTCTGCTGCTCCGCTGCCCTGTGTGTGTATCAGATCCGTCTGTGGGAGTTTGATCGCAACAGAGTGGCCACCACTGCTGCCGTGCTCTACGACGACTTCCCCACCCAGGTGATTCCCCAGGTGATTCCCCAGGTGATTTCTCAGGTGATTCCCCAGGTGATTTCCCAGGTGATTCCAACAAGATGAGGTATAGCTGCTCCCCTCCCAGGTGATTCCAACAAGGTGAGGTATGGCCGCTCCCCACCCACGTGATTCCAACAAGGTGAGGTATGGCTGCTCCCCACCCAGGTAATTCTCCAGGTGATTCCAACAAGATGAGGTATGGCTGTTCCCCACCCAGGTGATTCTCCAGGTGATTCAAACACGATGAGGTATGGCTGTTCCCCACCCAGGTAATTCTCCAGGTGATTTCAACAATGTGAGCCCATTCAGGTGATTTCAACAAGGTGAGCCCGCCCAGGTGATTCCAACAAAGTGAGCCTGCCCAGGTAGTTCCAACAACCATGGCCGCGCCCCACCCATGTGAGCTATTGCCAGTGTTGTCTCAGGCTCTGGCATTTCTCACCCAGGTGAGTTCTATTAGCATGACACATGGCGGAGTATGGATAAATGGTTCGCATATCCACCTGCACACATGTTTCCAAATGTGTACACCTATCGGTTTATAATCTCTCAACGTCAGGCAACTCCATCCTTCTCATGTGATTCAGCTTCCCCTCGCCTGAACCAACTGAACATGCGCTTACACTCGTTTCTGATCTGTGCCCTCGAGATTTTCTGCAGGAAGTGTTTGAAGCCATCGTTAAGCATGCGCAGCAGATTGGTGCGTTGCTGTGGAAAGACAGCAAGAAGAGAAAGTTTGTTGTTCGTGTCGATGCACACGATAGCGTGCGGACGTTTATTCGCCACCTCGGCAGCAAGAAGAAACGGCGCAGTGACGCGTAGTATTTGTCGCACTCTTGAAGTCTGAAAATGTGGGCAGAAGCAAAGGCGATCCAGGCCAAATTTACGCACTGGTACTGTGTTTTTTTTTCTTTTTATCAAAAACATCATCTTAGGTTGAGCCTGCATTATATCCCCAAACTCCAAGCCCCTCAAGAGTTTGTTGGAAATATATGAGAACACATTCACACATTCACAGCTAGAGGTGAAGATATATGCGTGAACGCCATAGCATCCAAACTCTGGCGAATATGGGGCGACCTGAGAATTCAACTAAATTCTCGTGATGTTTTCGCTGACGTCACAAAAAATTGTGCCGCAACCCCCACGAAATGCGAAATGCCACGCAGCTCCTCCGAAAAAGAGACCCGTCAATTGCGTTTCCCCGAAGCTGCTTGTCGAGAATGGAAGCATCTCGATCAATCCCTCGCTTGGCCACACCGTGGTCTACAAGACCAACTAAGGGCGCTTCACCTGTCGGTTCGAACAACACACTCGTTCGAACAGGCGAATTGTTACTCGTTTCGCCTATGTTCGTAGTGGTGATCGTGACGTCGCGAAGCACAATTTCGCCAATTTGAACAGAGCTGTCACCTCAAGCACGATTTTCATCATCCCGCACGTTCGAACACGTTTGTTCGAACAGGTTGGGATAGGTGACACACAATTCCGCACAAACGACTGATATGATTGGTCCACAGTCTCCCGGGTCGCCCATGAACGTTTGCGACCCAAGCGAGGAAACACACAAGCGAGGGACCCAATGTTTGGCGACGTCGCTCTTTTGTGGGCGACGTCGCTGTGTTCGAACAGACCGCGTGTGCGAATAGCGATGGCGTCACCTGTGATGGCCTGTGTCACATTCGCTCATTGTACGTATTTGTGTTAGAACTCATTTGGGATACTGTTCGTACAGTCAAACTGATACGTCGGTTCGGATTTTGGCCTTCCGCCCCTCAGGTGAAGCGCCCTAAACCACCCTGCCTGTCACAAACCAAACCCCGCCACACCACCCAACACCGAACCAAACGCGCCCACCCCACAGTCAGACATGCATGGCGCGTCGCGGTTTGCAGTGATTGGCACGTCCAGGTCGCCTGAACGATCTCGACCTGAGGCGCACTCGTGTACGCGTACTTACTCCTGCTGACGCCATCTCAGTCAGCAAATATTATGCTTCGCATTGCAACCCTCTTTGCGCCTGCTAAGCTCCTCCGAGCGACAAAAGTCTCTACACCTCTGCTCTGTCCGTCGTGGTCCTCCACGTTTGCGCGAGTCATCATGGCCTCGGCCACGCCCAATCCGCTCCTCACGCCGTTCACTCTCCCGGACGGCACGGAGCTCTCAATGCGCATCGTCTACGCGCCGCTCACGCGCGATCGTGCCGTCGGGACCATCCCGCAGCCGAACGCCGCGACTTACTACTCGCAGCGCGCGCACAAGGGCGGGCTTATGCTCACCGAAGGCACGTGTATTTCGCCCGAGGCGCACGGGTACCCCGACACCCCGGGGATCTACACGGAAGCGCAGATCGCGGCGTGGAAGCCGGTGATCAAGGCGGTGCACGACAAGGGCGCGCGGTTCTACTGCCAGCTGTGGCACGTCGGCCGCGCGTCGCACCAAGGTGAATCCCACTTCTGCTCCTTTCTTCGACGACGTCGACCGATCGCATTGGCAATGATGACGACACGTTGGGGCGCCTCCAGCATTGTTGCTTGACCGATGTGGGAAATCATCATGGCGGAGCCTGGGGGTTGTCGTCAATGGTACGCCTGGACGACGATTCACTTCGAGCTGGCAATTTTCAAGTCAATTTCCTCGCGTTTCACACGTAAAATCCCCCACATTAGCGGGAACATTGTTTGCTCATCTCCTCATCTTTCGTTTTCCTCGTTTCGTCCCCTCGCCGTTTCGATCATACTATCGCGCCACGTATCGACCTGGTAATTCCCTTTCTTTTCACGTCGATCGTTCTCCATCACCAACTGTCGTTCCTCGTCGCCCCTCCTCTGCTCCTCGTCATTATCCTACCCCTTCAACCCCCCCACTGCGCGCCGAGCAGAGTACCAGCCTGATGGCGCCGCGCCGATGGCTCCGTCCGCCATTCCTATCATTAGCGAGGAGATCAAAGTGTACATCAGCACTGGCCCAGCCGACTATCCCACGCCCAGGGCCATGACCGCGGAAGAGATCAAGAAGGTACGGAGCCGGACAGGCAATCGGAGGAACGGGGACGGACACGACGTCCTAAACCTTAAACGTTGTTGAATCCTTTTCGGGCGGGACTCAAGCGGCAAGCGAGGCACCGCAGTGGTGCTCGCTGCATGACGTGAACGCATCGCATGGCCCTATCAATTTCCGCTATATCGCCGGTCCTGCTCCGAGCGAGTCGCGCCGCTTTACTCTGGCGAATCCAGGCGACCGAGCGGTACCGCGCGATCGACAAGTGCCGCGCGACCGAGCAAGCTAGAAGCACCGCGTGGGCTGGGCAGCACCGCGAGGGCGCACGCAGTATTGCGCGGCTGCGCGCCAGAGTTTCTCCGCACGCATTCCTTTTGAACCATCTCCGTTGTTCACCTTCCCATCATCGCAATTCCCAGCGCGGTGACTCCAGGCTATCGAGCAGTAGTACCGGGCGGCTGCGTTTCCCATTTCATGTACTTCCATGCTCCGTGCTCTTCCAGCAAAATCTCAGGCATCTCAGTTCCGTGATCCCATATCCGTTGTTCATTTCCTCTCTCCCCCCCTCCCCCCCCCCCCAATCATCGTATTCCATTGTTCACCTTTTTCCATCGTCGAAATGTCCGCCACGGGTGGTTCCTCCAGGTGGTGGAGCAGTTCCGAGTGGCGGCGCGTAACGCGATCGACGCGGGGTTCGACGGCGTGGAGGTACACGGCGCGAATGGGTACCTGCTGGAGCAATTCATCAAGGTGAGATGATCTTGGGGAGTGGGCGATATGGCGGCGATTCGTGCGAATCCGTAACATTTCGGCTTATCGCAGTCAATGGTTACCTGCCTGGATCATCAAGGTGAGACGACCGCGGCTCGTCCGACGAGCCAAAATGTACCTGACCCATAGGTGTCCCCTAGGTAACCCTCGGGTTAGATTTGGGTCGTACATGTGAGTTGGTCTTGGTAATTACAGTTAGCATGAGTATGGTAGAAAAAGGACAGTTCAATGCACTTCATGGCATAAGCTGCTTGGGTTTGATCGGATTCGCTCCTTTCTCCAGATTTATGCACCACATCATGCAACAACAACGAGCACGAGGTCAAGTTTGGGTACAGCGCGGCGTACCTCATTATTCCCGTTCCCTCAACAACCCTTCGTCACCCTTCTCCCATTCTCCCGCTTCCGTCTCCCCCGTCCCCCTCGCCAGGACGGCATCAACAAGCGTGAGGACGAGTTTGGCGGCTCCCTCAATATCCCCGCTCGTTCAACAACCCCAACCCCACTCTACCCCCATAACCCCCACACCTTTTCTCCCCCTCCCCCCTTGGTTCCTCCCCCCTTCCCCACTGCCAGGACGGCATCAACAAGCGCGAGGACGAGTTTGGCGGCTCCTTGGAGAACAGGCTTCGCTTCCCCCTGCAGGTGGGTCCAGCTGTTGCGCCCTGCAGGTGGGTCCAGCTGTTGCGCCCTGCAGGTGGGTCCAGCTGTTGCGCCCTGCAGGTGGGTCCAGCTGTTGCGCCCTGCAGGTGGGTCCAGCTGTTGCGCCCTGCAGGTGGGTCCAGCTGTTGCGCCCTGCAGGTGGGTCAGGCTGTTGTGACTCTAAGGGGGGCGACTGTGGTGTTAGTTTACAGCCTCTAGCACTGGGGATGACTGGGTGCTTGGTTCCTTGGGACTACTCTGCTGTTAATGATTAGGGTGGAGCCTTATTGGAATGTTGAAATCAGGCTCCTTTCCCACCCCTTCTCCTTTTCCCCCCTTCCTTCCCGCCCGCCTCCTCCTTCCCCTTTTGTTCCGTCGCCCCGTTCCTACTCCCTCCTTCCTCCCCAGCCCCTGCTTCCACACCCCGGCAGCGGAAGAGGTTTCTGAATCTCCTCCTATCTCCACTCTTCTCCCACGCCCACCTGCCCGTGACCCCTTCCTCCCTCCTTCCCCATATGCAACCCATATCCTCCTCCCGCCTTCCTCCACCCATCTCCCCCCATCGCATCCCCTTGTTCCTCCCCGCATCCCTTCCCCGCCCCCTCCCCCCACACATGGTGGTTTAAGGCAGTGGTGGACGAGGTGCTCGGCAGCAAGGAGACTTTGGAGTCAATTCAAAAGCCCCATCCCCCCTCCTTCCTCCCCCATCTCCTCCGCCCATTTCCTACCCTGGCCTCCCCCCATGGCCCCCCTGCAGATGATCAAGGCAGTGGCGGACGAGGTTGTTGTTGAGCTGACTTGTCCCTCCCCTCCCCACCACGCTGCCCCCCATTGCCCGCCCACCAGGTGATCAAGGCAGTGGCGGACGAGGTGGGCGCCAGCAAGGTGGGCGTGCGGCTGTCGCCGTACAGCTCCTTCCTGGATGCTTCCGACTCGGACCCCGTGGGCACGTATTTGGGGCTGGTGGAGGCCCTCAACAGCCTGGGCCTGGCGTACGTGCATTTCATTGAGGCGCGCGCGCAGGGGAATGCTGACTTGGAAGATGTAAAGGAGGTGAGCGGCGTGTAGGTGGTGCTGGGTTTTGAAGGAGTTGAGTGGTTTGCAGGCTGTGCGGTGAGTACTGTCTGCTTGTGACAGAGGTGTGTGGAGGGAAAGAGGAGGGCTTGACGGCTGCCTGGTTGGTATCCACCGGAAAAGAGCTCGAGGAGGGCTCGAGGGCTTGCGAGTTTCATCGCGTTCTTCTCTTTGTCCTTCCTTTTCCAATCCTGTCATTGTTGCGGCTTTGAATTCGCATTCCATTGCCCCTGCTTCCCTCCTCTTCCGCTATCTGCAGACTCTGGAGCCATTCCGCAAGGCGTTCAAGGGGCCCTTCATTGCTGCTGGCGGCTACAAGGTATGCTCCTGTGGCCCGTGTGACCCTTCAACAGAGTCGGCATTATGGTGTGGTGTACAGCAACTAGTTTACGGCAATGCAAGTTGCATGCCTCATGCACTTTATGTATTGTTATTTACTGCTGTCGTCGTCTATGTCCTGCCAGTACCGAAGCTCCCTTGATCATGTTTGCACACAATGCTGCCACTCCCCTCCGCCCCATCGCCTCACTTTTCTCCTTTCCCTTCCTCTCCAACCCTCCACTATTGTCCCAACTACCAGCGGGAAAACGGCATGGAAGCTATTGAAAACGGATCGGCGGATCTGATCACGTACGGCCGTCTCTTCCTCGCCAACCCAGACCTGCCGAGGCGCTTTGAGCTCAATGCGCCCCTCAACCCGTACGACCGCAGCACCTTCTTCAGTGGGGATCAGGTCAAGGGGTACATCGACTACCCTTTCCTGGATGAGGAACCCAAGAAGGCTGAATAGAAGGGGATGCTTGACTCAGATGTGAGGTGCGTAGGTATATATGTACCGGTGCTGGAATTCGGAAAGGTTATTGCAGCACTCTCGGAAATATGACTGTCTTCTTCGCATTAGCCTCGTTTAGAGGATGCGGTCGTCCACTTTATCGTACTTCTCTCTTATAGAGAATGGGATAAAAGGGGAGGTGAAATGTGACTATTTTGCATGCCGCAGGAGTACAGTTGTGGCGCAAGGGAATGTACCCCTCAAAGTACATGGCTAGCTATAATTATTAAAACAAGCGTATCAAACGCTGCATAGCAAATCTTATAACTTAGAGCTGGGTACATCTCTGTTAAAAAAGCTGTGTAAGACCAGAATCTTCAAGACTACCGATACCGATTGTGCCATTCATACCGGTAGAAGTTTTAAAACGCCATTGACGGCGTTCGAAACCCATGTGATTTCTTGAACAGCACATTTAAAAGGCTTTTTTTAACATCAGAGTAGCGTGCCCTTTCTCTGTGTTGGAAATACGTTCAGTTGTTGCTCCATGTAACCACCACAGTTACTAAAAGTGTATGCACTTTCAAACGTATTCTGAATAAAATTTCAATAACATGGTACTGGTAGTATCCTCTAAAATGAGATGCGGCCCAAAGGGTACGGTACTAATCAGGGCATTTTGCCCATGGATTTTGAGCCTTGGTGTTGTGCCGAGCAATTTAGCAAGTACCGTAATGCGTGCCATACTGTCATCATGGTAACAGGTGGCACGAGGAGATCCCCATCACTGACACCACGACTGCTTCATTCTTCCGTCGTGCTGCCATGCTGCCATTCTGCCATGCTGTCTTGCTGTCATGCTTTGCTGTCATCCTTTGCTGTCTAGCTGTCACGAGGACGAGGCCACCTGTGATGCCACCTCGGATGCAAAGTCCTTGGCCTCCCTGCCACGTGGCACCATTGCAGAAAGGCAAGGATAATTAGCCACTTGCATGGAAGTGAGTAAAAGGCTAAGAACCAGTTATACTACTCAATAATAAGGGTAAAAATAATCATCCTAATCAATAAGACAATCGTACTCATTGGTGATCTACAGGTAAGAACCCAATCGCACCTTTCAATGCCTTCTCCAACCTCTAGCCGTAAAAAGTGTTCCACTTGAATCGTTGCCCCGGCCTTCTTGGAACCTTCTGCTAGCACTTTCTGTGGGACATGGGATGGAGCATGCAGAGCAGAATGTGGTTAATAAGGCATGCAGAGCAGAATGCGGTTAATAAGGCATGCAGAGCAGAATGCGGTTAATAAGGCATGCAGAGCAGAATGCGGTTAATAAGGCATGCAGAGCAGAATGTGGTTAATAAGGCATGCAGAGCAGAATGCGGTTAATAAGGCATGCAGAGCAGAATGCACTCAGCCGAGCATGCAGAATGGACTGCATGCAGAATGGACTGCATGCAGAATGGACTGCATGCAGAATGGACTGCATGCATGCCCCATGGACATGCAAGCGCAGTCCGCTTGCAAGTTGACTTGGATCACACTGCCTATGCTCACCTGCTTGCAAGTTGACTTGGATCACACTGCCTATGCTCACCTGCTTGCAAGTTGACTTGGATCACACTGCCTATGCTCACCTGCTTGCAAGTTGACTTGGATCACACTGCCTATGCTCACCTGCTTGCAAGTTGACTTGGATCACACTGCCTATGCTCACCTGCTTGCAAGTTGACTTGGATCACACTGCCTATGCTCACCTGCTTGCAATTTGACTTGGATCACACTGCCTATGCTCACCTGCTTGCAAGTTGACTTGGATCACACTGCCTATGCTCACCTGCTTGCAAGTTGACTTGGATCACACTGCCTATGCTCACCTGCGCGACTCTCTTATCGTCCAGCGCATATGCCTGTTCCATCAGCAGCACCTCCCCGTAGAACTTGCCCCCTTTGAACCAGACACATGTACGTACTGCGTAATTCAGTCAGCCTCGCCGCTCAGCACCCACCTGCACGGTCCTCTTATCATCCAGGGCATAAGGCTGCTCCATCAGCACCACCTCACCGTAGAACTTGCCCAGCCGCCCCGCTACCATCTTCTCCACCACAGCCGCTGGCTTGCCCGCTGCCACCGCCTGCATGGGAGAGAAAGACAAGAGGAGTCTAAAAATCTGTAGCAAGCAATCAGCCGCCCCGCCACCATCTCCTCCACCGCGCCTGCTGGCTTGCCCGCTGTCACCGCCTGCGTGGGTGGGGAGAGGAAACAGGGAGGAAAGGGGAGGAAGGAGAAAAGAGGAGTGTCAAACACATGCCAGTAGCAAGCCCTCTGCCGCCCCTGCACCATCTTCTCCACCACACTTGCTGGCTTGCCCGCTGCCACCGCCTGGATGGGAGAGGAGAGAGAAACAGGGGAGCCCAAAAAGCCTAAAGAGCAGAGCCTGAAGAACTTGCGTGGAAGAAGAGAGAGAAACGGCTGCCACTGGAAAGCATTCAGGCACCACGAGACAATTTCTCCACGATGCTGCTTTGCTTCCTTGCTGCTGATGAGGACTCAATGGCGAGACAGGTGGTGACGTTAGGGGAGGGTTAGAGCTGACCAATTGCACTAGTGTTGACCCACCGGTTGACATGCATTGACTCATTCGTTCACTAGTGACGCGCTGGCCCAACTATTCACTAGCATTGACCCACACTCACCTGTGCTCGCAGCACGGCACTCTCCCTCTCCACCACCTCCCCTGGAACATCTTCTCGCCTATAATAGAGCGGTCTCATCGCCACCACATGCATCGAGTTGACTTTTGAGTCGACTCAAAGGTCAAGACACGCTCACCTGTGCTCGCAGCACGTCACTCTTCCTCTCCACCACCCCCGTAGGGACGCCCCTGCTGCCTCTGGCACTCCTTTCCCCACCTGTTAAGTAGCGTCGAGTCAACGCACACTCACCTGGGCTCGCAGCACATCGCTCTCCCTCTCCACCACCTCCGCAGGCACGTCCTCCCGCCTCAGATACAGCGGTCTCATCGCCACCACATGCATCGCCACTCCTTCCCCCACCGCCGCTGCTGCCGCTGCTGCTGCTCCTGTCTCCTCCACTGCTCCTGCCTCTGATCCTGCCTCTGCCCTGCTCCCTTCTCTGCTGCTGCTGCTGCTGCTGCTGCCTGAAGGCTGGGAAAGAGAGAGGGACACAAGACTAGCTATCCGCCCCAAGCCAGCCCCGGGGCTGCTGTGCAGGTACGTGGCCACCGAGCCAGACGGCCGAGGCTCGGGAAGCAGGAAGGCTCGGCGCAGGCGCACGTTCTCCCCAGTCAGCGCTGCCACCTCAGCCACCGCCTCTGCCAGCTGGCGACTTCCCGTCAGCTTCGGGTGGTCGAATGACACCGTGGCTTGCTGGTGGTGGAAAGGAAAGGGGGGCAGGGATGCGGAGGGGAATTAGTTGGAACTTGGGAGGTGTGAATCCCACCAACACAGCCACCGCCTCTGCCTGTCAGCTGCCCTCTTTGTGATAGTGGTGGTCGAACCACACTGTAGCTAGCTGGAGGTGGGAGGGGATGAAGGGCAGGAAGGGGTGGAGAGGGGAGTTAGGTGGGAGGTGTGAGTGAATGCGTGACTGCTGGCCACACGGCCACCACCTCTGCCTGGCAGCTGCCGGCTTTGTGGTAGCTTCTGGTGGTCAATTCACGGTGTGGCTTGCTGGTGGCGGGAGGGAGGGAGTGGGCGGTTGCGGTGATGTAGGTCGGCGGGGACGATGTGAGTGCAAGTGTGAAGATGCGAGTGGGAGTGCATGTGTGTGGGACAATGGGAGGGAAGGGGATTGAATGTCCACTTGGAAAGAGACGGATAACAGGTGGAGGGAACGCGAAATCACCAACACCATACCATGCTAACTACTGACTTGCCAACTACTGTCCCGGTATTTGATGCCGCACTCACTTCAAGGTTTGCTAGAGGCAGAGGGAGCGGAAGAGATGCGGAGGACGAGGAGGAGGAGGGTGAAAGGCTCAACGCTGCGGCTGCTGCCTTGGAAACCTGCAGGGAGGTAACGAGGGAAAGGAGAGAGGATTGAAAAAAAGGAAAGAGAGAGAAGGAGATGAGGAATAGAGGAGGGGTAAGAGCAGAAGGGGATTGAGATGGTGGAGAGGTGTGTGTGAGGGCAGGGAAAGAAGAGCCCATGTCCGAAAGGGTGTACTTGGATTAGAACCCTCTCACCCCTCTCAGCCTTGCACACCCGTCCGTGTGGGATGGCACCCTCACCAGCAGCATTTGATGAAAACGATTTCACTCCTAAGGTTTCTTCTTCGTCGGTGCACTACTCTTTCCCACTCACTGCAGATAGCAGTAATCATGATCGTCTTAAAGCCCACCTCACGGGTCAGCTCTTGAGCCACCACTCCCTTGCATGCGCATTCATCTCCACTTCCAATGCAGCCACCATCCTTAAGGCTCGTGGGCTTCAAGGCTCAAGGTTCAGGTTTAAGGTTTTAGGTGAAAGATTAGCCCCTTACAAGACGAACTCACGAGCAATTGGAAGAGACCGTTGCGTTGCGAGCAACAAAGTCCGTCTCGCTGTTGATCTTCACCGCCACCGCCACCACGCCTTGCCTGCCACCTGTGCGCACTTGTTTGTGTGTTTTGAGAAGACTGGAGACACTCACCAGCAGTTGAAAGAGGTCGTTCCTGGCAACCAAGTCCGTCTCGCTGTTCACCTACACCACCACCGCCCCCATACCCTTTGTTGAGGCCCTTTGTGTGTTTTGGGTTGACAGAAGGTGCACTCACAAGCAGCTGGAAGAGGGTGGCACTCACCAGAAGCTGAAAAAGGTCGTTGCGTGCAACAAAATCAGTCTCGCTGTTCACCTCCACCGCCACCGCTCCCACGCCCCGCCGCACCGCCACGCCCACCAGCCCCTCCGCTGCCACCCGCGCCCGCTTCTTCTGCGCCGCTGCCAGGCCCCGCCTCCTCAACTCGGTGAATGCCGCGTCTGGGAGGGGGAGGGAGAAGTGGAAAGCAGGGGTTGGGGGAGGTGGGGAAGGGGGGAAGGGGAGAATGGGGGGAAAAGGTGGTCTTGGAGTCACTCCCGCCCACCAGCCCCTCTGCTGCCACCCGCGCCCGCTTCTTTTGCGCTGCTGCCAGGCCCCGCCTCCTCAACTTCGTGAATGCCGCGTCTGGGGGGAGGTGGGAGGAGAGGGGCGGAGGGGGGAGTGGGCGGAGAAACATGGTGGTTGAGTGGTTCAGTCCCTTACACTCCAGCAGAAGCCCCTCTGCTGCCACCTGACGGCACCTCGCGCACATCCCACCCCCACCAGCACCGCTGCTTGTACCGGTGGAGAATGTAGGTGCCGCTCGCGACAGTACAACCTCGCTACAGTACATCCTCGCTACAGTACCGCCTCCCTACAGTACAGCCTCGCTACAGTACCGCCTCCCTACAGTACCGCCTCACTACAGTACCGCCTCATTACAGGAACGCCTCACTACAGTCCCGCATCGCTACAGCAACGCCTCACCCAGATCCCACCCGGCCGCCACCAGCGCCGCCTTCACGTCCTTCACCGGCGCGCCCGTGCGCGCGCGCAGCTCCTTGATCGCCGCGAGGTTCCCCCCTCCGCCGGATCCCCCCCCCGCGCCTGCTCCCTCGCCCGCGCCGCCCCCAGTTTGCGCGCAACGCCCGCCGCTGCTGCTGGCGGCGGAGAAAGCGCGGGAGGTGGCGGAAAACAAGGCGGCGGCAGCCCAGGGGAGCAGCTTCGCGCGCAGCAGAGGGCCGCTGACGTCACTGGCGCACTTGCCGATCGCTGATGACGTCATTTTGAATCGGATCTGGAAGTATGGACGCAAGGTGGTGGAAGTGCCTGGCGATGGAGAATGGGCGGACGACGCGCGTGTGGTGGGGCGAGAGGTAGTAGCGGTGCTAGAGGCAGTGGAGACAGAGGGGAAGCGGGCAGCGGGCAGCGCGAAACGGAGCAGAGGGCGGGGCAGTGCGCAGCGCGAAATCTATGACTTACGATGAAGCTGGCGGGTATCTGAGAGGGCCAGACCTGAGCAACTTGCATGTTTTGATCTGAATGCTTCACTAGAACAGCCTTCACTAAATGTGTGTTTGTCAGTTCGACTTCCAGCCAAAAAGTTTCACTAAAATGACATTTATGCAACCAGGAATCGGAAACACTCGCATAACATGCTTAGTAATATGATATCCATGACCAACACCGACATTGACACCGACACCATAATCATATTAAACCCTTCCAAAATTCTATCAACACCACCTGATAGATTTGGACAACTGTAAGACATTGGAACATTGTTTAACGAGCATTGAAATGTTCGAACAAATAAGGGGTTTTGACAATTTGCGAAGGGCGTGTAACATATAAGTGAACACCGCTATCACGCCACTTCCAGCACCAGTCTAAGTTGCTTTGGCTGATCCCACCTCTCGACCAGCCGTCTCTCGCAGTTCTACCACGCTCCCGTATCCATCCTCCCCTACTTGTTCCCTGGTCTCCACTTCCCTCTCCAATAACTTGGTGGGTGTTGGACACCTTCAGGACCGCGGGGTCACGGTCAATTTCCTGCGCACGAGAGGTTTGCGACCTGTACGACCGTTTCCACTGGGGCACTTCTGGCAACGTTCTCCCAATAGCCTTCGTCAAGTCTCTTCACACTGCACAGTGAACCCCCCCTAGGTAGCTGCGTCTGGTGAGGCTGCTGCGTCGTGCTCCTATCGGTCCCTCTCCGACCCTTCAGTCATGTGGCACCACCGTCTAGGTCAGACTTCACTCCCTCGCCTCCACCACATGTCTAGGCACGGTCTTGTTTCATGTCTCCCGCACTAGCTTCCGTCGTTTCCTCCTTCGCATTCGCCGCCGTGCACTCCTTGCATTGAGGGTAGGCTGTGCACCACCCCTCACTCCTCCTCCCTTGCGCCAGCCACCTCACCCCTCCAAACTTTGCACTTGAACGTCTGGGGCCCCATCCCAGTCGATGGGTTGGGTCAGGAGAGCTCCATCCTGGTGGTGGTTGACGTGTTCCCGTTTCCTCATGTGTACGGTCCTCCGTTTCCTCCTCCGGACACGTCTCCGACTCTCTCTCATCCTAGTTCACGGACGTCTCCTCCTATTTTACCAGTCCCATTGGACCGTTCGTCGTCCCGCGGGTGATCGACACTCGTCTTCTATTCGGGACCTCTTTGTTCCTTCGTACTCTCCCTCCTCGTGCTCAACCTCCATCTGTCCTCCCGTCTGTTTCCTCATTGTCTCCCACTAACTATTATTGTTTTCCTTGCCTTGTTGTCTCACATATTCTCTCCTCTCTTGTCACGGACCCTACTGCCCCTCCGTCGTCTGTTTTGGCCCTTGTTGCCGCTATCGCAGACTTTGCGCTGTCACTGACTTTGCCGCCACCCGTCGCATTGACTGCGCCAACCGCTTGGAGGCCTCTCTCCTACTATCCTCTGGTAGTGTTGCTCTTGGTTGTTATGTCCTAGTGGACATCCAGTTTGAGCTGGAGTTCCTTGCGGCCACTGCTCCCCATCTCTGTGCCATGCTGCTAGCCCTTAAGGGAGACCCTTATGCTCCAGACATCCCAACTCCTAGTACTTCTGCTAAGGCAGGCCTCTCAGTGGATAGTTGCCATAGACCTAGAGATGGCGTCTTGGAGGTACATGTGCACGTAAATCTCCCTCCCTGGGCGAACATAGTCGATCGCATGTGGATCTTCAAGGTGAAGCAGCCACCTGGATTGCCGCATGTCTTCAAGGCGCTCCGCGGCTAGAGGCTTCAAACAGGATGAGGAAGTCGACTCCTTTCAGACCTTCTCCCCCACCCCGAACATGACTACTGTTCGGGTGCTACTGCACGTTGCAGCACAACGAGACTACGAGCTGCACTTACTATACTTTTTCACCGCCTTCCTCCAGGGCAGCCTGCACGAGGAGATTTGGCTACGCAGTCCTTCTGAATTAACTTGCACATTCCTGCTTGGGACCCCGTAGAGCTTGAGACGGCTAGTCTACAGACTGCGCTAGGCGCCTCGTTAGTGGCACGACACTCTGCGCACCATTCTTGCTTACCATTCTTGCTTACCTCAGTTTTGGTCCTTCGTCTGCTGGCCCGTCATTGTTCGTACATTCCGGTTCTGCTCCTTTCTTTGTCCTCGTCTTTGTCGACGACTTGGTCCTTGCTATTGCAAACAGGGTTGCTCTGGCTTCAAGGAATTAAAAAAATGCATAAGAGACACACCTGCACTGGCCTTGGTGAGCTGCTTAGCTGTCTTGGCTTCTAGATCACCAAGGACAGAGCAGTATGCACCATCGCTTGGACTTAGTCACACATGATGTAGCATGTACTTCAATGGTTCGGCTTCCAGTTCTCCACCATAGAGCCCACTCCTCTTGTTGTTGACCACATACTAACTGCTACTATTTCCGACGAGCCTGTTGAGCTGAGTGGTCGCTAGGCAGAGCTTGTGGGTTGCCTCATGTACTTTGCGTCCTTGCTCGCTATGTTCCAATTGGGAGACACCGTCTCGTTCACTAAACACTCGCTAAGAGGGTAGCAAAGTACCTGACGACCACATCAAGCATGGTGCTTGTACTTGGAGGAGGCCAGCCAGTGCAACTTACCGGGCACACTGAATCGTCGTAGACGGACGACAAGGATACTCGCATGTCTGCACAGGGTTACAGTTTTTGCCTAGGCTCTGGAATTGTGTCTTGGAGGTCAATACGAGCGTCGTCTGTGGCTTTGTCCATCTATGAGGCCGAGATCTACGCCGGTGTCATGGCTGCTCAGGAGCTCCGCTGGCTAACTTTCTTGCGCACTGACCTAGGTGAGTGGCCTAATTCTACACCGTCATTGTTCGCAGATAACAAGGCCATGATCCTCTTGTGTCGAGAGCCTCGACTAAAGAGCAGAGTGGAGCACATCGAGCTGCGGTACTTCTTGCTACGAGAGCTACAGCGTCGCGGCCATGCATGCTTGGTCTTTGTGGCCTCAAAGGCCAACACTATGGACGTCTTCACCAAGGATCTCCCGCTTGGTGACCACCACAGCTTCTGTTCGTAGATTGGCCCTGTTCAGGCATGCCCTTGTTTGTTGTAGGCTTGCCTCTTGTGCCTTGCTCTCCTTGTTTTGTTGTTCATATAGAGATGAACTCTTGAACTGGCCTTGTGGCCGTTTGTTTAAGAGGCTGGCTAGTCGTACCACCCTGAGTTGCAGCTCTTACTTTGTTTCGTTTGTTGATTGGTCTTCTGACCATCTGTCTCTCTTATTTGCTTGATGCCCCTCACCTAGCCTATGGGGTGTGTTAAAGTATATTTATGTGTGTGCTAGGTTTGTTAGGCTACAACGAGGTGCATTGTATTGGGTACAATAATTTCTAGGGTTTGCCATATGTACCAATCTCCTGTTAGTCACATTCATTCCGCAGTATTCTAGCAGAATGGCACAATGTGAGCGAAGGCATGAGCGAATATTACAAAGTGTAAGGATTTTTTTGCATTCCTTATTGCGCATCACACTTGACCGCGTACAACACTGTTCACTAGTTCGGCCGTTCTTTGCCCATTACCGGCTAACAGTGTTCTCACCTCACGCACTACGTTTGCCCAATCTTCCACCGTTGTACAAGACCGAGTCGACATATGCCTCGGGAATAGCTCGAACCTCTTGCTTCCAGCGTTTCTTAGGCTAGCTCGCAATACCTCGTTACGCCTTTGCATCTTTTGCTATTCAATGTTTGCTCATGCCTTCGCTCACATTGCCAATATTTTGCCCCTTTAGTGCAGTCTTTGTTTGTTCCTTCAATTGCACTTGTACCACTTAGATTGTGTTCCTGGGATGTTCGGACAACATCCGCCCCCCAATGGCATGTATGGCATAGGAAACACGTGCCAAACCAACTTCACAACCACTGTGCAGCTACACACATGCACCAATAATGCTTCAGGTATAGGTCTTAAAATCTTAACCTGTTTCAGCGTTCACGAATGATGTTTCGAGAAGTTGGCGCGAAGTTATTTCCATATTCATGCCGCTGCATGGTATGTCAGAATGTTATGCTCTAGCCTGTAGTGGGGTGCTCTATAGCGAGTACAACCCTTCTAGGGTTTGCTATTTGTATCCTCATTATTGCTAGTGAAAACATCTCCTCTTTTGCCTAAATTGTCTCTTGCCTAGCTAGGACTCTCCTAGCTATGGCTCCTAATCCTTCCGCTTACTTTCACATGGAATCAGAGCACACATGCTCCCGGCCTGTGGGCCCCACTACTGCTTCCGCTGCCCTACGTTGTGTCGCGCGCCCTGTGGCGCGCGACCTCTTATTTTTCATTCCGCCGCGCGCTCGGGTCGCGCGGCGGTTTTCTGCCCGCCGTGCGCCCCGAGGCGCGCGGCGGTTTTCTCCTCGTCGCGGTGCCCTGGGGGCCCGCGCGCCGGCCCCTCCCCTCACTTTGTCGCGGCGCCTTGGGGGCCCGCGCGCAGGCCCCTCTCGTCGCCTCGTCGCGGCGCTTTTGGGGCCCGTGCGCAGGCCCCTCCCGTCGCCTCGTCGCGGCGCTTTGGGGGCCCGCGAGCCGGCCCCTCTCGTCGCCTCGTCGCGGCGCTTTGGGGGCCCACGCGCCGGCCCCTTACGTCGCCTCGTCGCGGCGCTTTGGGGGCCCGCGCGCCGGCCCCAGCCGTCGCCTTGACGCGGCGCCTTGGGGGCCCGCGCGCGGCCCCTCTCGTCGCCCGTCGAGCCGCCCTCGTGGGCCGCGCCCTGCTTCTTCGTGGCGCCCTGGTTACCCCCTGCCGCCTCCCTTTCCTTTCGTGACC